AACGGGACCCCATGCAAAGTAAGATGGGCGGCTGGGGGGCTGTAGGACTCAGGCATGAAATTGTGGTCCCTGCTGACCAATTCGTGGTATAGGCATCAGCAGTCCATGAACCAGGCTACATTTGAGTGGTTTTTTTGGGGGGGATAATATGGTACCCAATATAGAGTAAGATTCTATCCTTTTTTTGGGGTATAGTATTTTATATAAGGAATATGATCTTACCAGGTTCAACCACCAAAAAATCACTACTCATTTGTGGGAAGAAGACAAAGGAAGAGGACCTGATCTAGCAATGTGGTACATTGGCTTCATGAAAATGGAAGCCAGTATCAGGACGAAATGTTTTGCCCCATACTCACATAGCTTGGGTATGCCGTATAGTTGGATTCTAGCTTCAGCAATTCCAGGAAATGGCTTCTAAGGATGTGCCTTCATACTACTTGGAGGGTCATGGTACTTAGTAAGCAGATTGATGACGGGCACAACTGGGATTATTACATGGCTTCTAGGGATTGTTTTAAGTATTCCTGCGAAGCATCCCTGAAACCGCAAAGTACCCTCTGTACAATTGGCATGGCGCCTCGTCTGCGCCATGTCGACAGGACAGTGGATCATACGAGTCCTTCTAGTTTTTCATGGTTGTTTGCGGAACCCAGAACCCTACCCTAAACCCCTAAACCCTGAACCCTCACCACAAGTGGAGTGAGTGATCAAGACGGCATTCAGATTTTTGTGCTAGAAGGGCGGAAATTCCAGTCTAATCCCGCAGGATAGTGTAGGATTTTGGTGTTTCCCAAAATTAGCGCTACCTTTTTTGGGGGTCCCCATAATAAGAACTATAGCATTTTGGGTCTATACTGGGCTCCCGCTATTTATGGAAACTACCATTTCAGAGGCGTAAAACAATCACGTGCAATCTCAGCACCATCACCACATAACGTTTCCGTTTAAAGGAGCCTGGTAAGGGCTTCCCAGAGCCCCATGAAAAATCTTAAGGAATTTCTCAGTCTACGTGCCCGCATTCGCCAGAGAAGGCATTGCTGCAACGTTTTGTACAATCCCCATGCGCAACCTGGGGCATGGGTTATTAGGGTTTTTGGGGTTCAGCAGATACACGATGGGCAAAGTAATCACAAGTATTTGGAGACTGCGGATTTTTCGGGAGGAGGGTAGTCATCCCGATACACATAGTTGGATCTGAAATGGGGCTTGGCACTCCATTTGAGCATAGTCAGATGGTCATGATCTAGCTTCACGGCAATTCCAAGTTTAGATGCAGGAAGTGGCTCCGGAATCAATACAGTCAGAAATGTCGGAGTTCCATAGAGCTTGAACCAGTAAGGGCATTCTAGGTGGAGGCTTGGGGTACGACAGCCGAGGAATGTGAAAGGATTCAATCTAGCATTGCAGTCGCCAAATAATCCACATTCCAGATGAGTGCTGCTCCGGTGTAGGGTTTAGGGCTAAGGCTGAATGACATTGAAGTATTTGAGGAGTTATCGTGTGATTAGTCTCGCAGCCTTCCAAAAAAGGCGACAGCGAGACATTTAGACCATTATGTTAGGGCTTTGGGGTGGCATCTTGTGACGAGCAGTCTATGCTAATGATTTGGCAGCATTTGCGCTGAGGTTGGGTGTCCCGCATCCCCTTATGCTTATGCTCCTCATAGGATTGTAATTATAAGATAAGATGCCCAAAGCCTTGTTGTAGTTTTCGAAGCCCCTTCATTACTTTGAACCCTCAAGCGCAGCGTCTTCTCAACAAAGTAGTTTATATAGCCGGCGATTCAGCATGGAACCCCAATCAAGGGTCCTTAATTTGTTTTTCCTAGCGTCCTGCTTCCCCCCCCCCGGTTCCCTTGCATAGGGCCACGATCGTCCCCTCTAAGTAGATAGAAATGGGATATATGGGGATCTTATTAGAATATACCCAAAGCCATATTCTTATCATTTATGTAAGCTCTAGCCAACGGTTTCCCTCTGGCTCGTGCTAGCGTGGCCTCAACTCAGGTTGCACCGTTGCATTTTTTCAAACGGAAAACACAGTTTTGATGTCGTAGTTGCGGCCGTTCACGCTTGGTCTGAAAAAGGCTCGGAAGCACCGAACAGAATCTTCCCTTTGCAGAGGCAACGCAAGTGGTTTGAGCTGGGACCATGGGACCATGCCGCATTTGGGAAGAACGTGGATTGCAACCAACAATACTAGCTAAGGTAGACGCACTTGCTTCTCCTCCCTTCCTTCTCCAGTCTCTTTCTGGTTGCCAGCTTGTGCTTCACGATTTCGCTCCTTTCGCGCCTTCTATGGGAGCACGATGTTTGCACAAGGAATATCATGACACCGACAAGTAACGCCGTAAGATCGGCTCTGTCTCTCTTCCTCCGCATCGGAGCGAATCTGACGACATCATCATCCCGAATTAACAACTAAACCATAAACCCCTAAAACGCTAAAACCTTAAACCTTAAACCCTGAAACCCAAATCCTAAACCCCTAAACCCTAAACCCTGGGAACAAAAAAACATCTAGGAACATCTGGGACCGATCATCCGGCATCGGAAACCCGATGCTGTCAACATCCTGGTCTCGGATATCGGACATACTGACAACATCTGGGTAGATCCCAATGTGGGTTTAGGATTTATGGTTTGGGGGAGTTCCCAAAATTAGGATCCCATTTTGGTACCCCTACATATTAGGAGCCGTAGTATAATCTATAAGCAAAAGGGACCCATGATTTTGAGAACAACCCATCTATTGACAATCGTCTGCCGCAGGGAGACCATGCCAAGCATCCTCTTATATGTACCATAGTCTAAACTCCTTAGAGGGAGTTAAATAGGGTAAGGGGGACACCAGGAGTTTAGGCTATGGCTCATATAGCTGCAAGCAGCAAATCGAGTAGTAGCTCAGATGATCATGTCGCAATCCCCACTACAGCACAGGCAGTATTCATATTGCCCAAAGGAACACAATCACATTTGGTTCGACCACCAAAGGAAAACCCTCAACCTTAAACCCTAAACCCTAAACCCCTAAACCCCAAACAAAACACCACGCAAGTGGACGGCCGTGTGCAGTGGAGCGAGTGGCGTAGTTTAGGTGCAGCTCGGAAAGCTGGATCACTGGCAGAGCATCTTGGGATACTCTGATGTTGCCCTAAACTTACGGTTTCATTAGGTTTGGTTAGCAGGGAATACAGGAATTCAATCCCTTTATATCATATCGCCTTCTACCCTAAACCCTCACCCCTAAAATGTATATGCCCTTTCTGACCCCTGAGTTGTAACAGCTTGAGCTGCCCGAGATTTGACAAATGGCGGTCCTTGGGACCTCCTGGAGCAGCGCCAAGAAGACAGAAAACTCCCTGAGCCTAAGTCAGACCATTTAGGTTTCAAAGCCCTAAACCCTAAACCCCCAAACCCTAAACCCTAAACAGGCCTCTTTGGCTTCAGCTCATGTAGATGTGGTGCAATAATTTTGTATCTTCCCTGCCCAGGCTTCATTTAACATATTCGCTTCTCGACAGCGTGGGGGCGGCCTCCACTGCCCACAAGACAGCTGTGAGTGATGACAATCCAAAAACTAAATTCTGGGTGCTCTCATGTTTTGCCCCTATGTTCGCAAACCTCTACAGTTGGGCACATTTGCTGCTAGACCTTATGGACGCCCTGGTCTGGGAATCCAACATGTGGGCTTTGAAAGCTCGGGCTTGTTATATGCGTTCCTCCATTAGGTTTCTGATGGCAGAAAAGGTTGGACTTAAGACGTCACTTCACACCCGTGCTGCAGGGTTCCCTGAACATATTATGGACACTGCAAGTTCGCATCACCACGCACTTGTCTTCTCGTTTGAAGCAGCACTTGCCCAAACTCCTACACCCTGCGGCCGCACAGCCTTATGCCATCCTATGCGTCCTCAATACAGAACAAGGCAGGCACGTGCATGGGCTTTGTCAAGATAGTCCCCAAGTCATCCCTAAAACAACTTCTGATTTACCCCTTGAGCAAGGCCAACCCGCTTCAAGAAACGTTATGAAGGGAAACCTAGGGAATACCCCTATAGTCCCTACATGGTAGGCTTCTCCACAGCATCCCTGAAGAATCCTTCATACAGACCCCCAGAACCGCTTTATGTCCCTAAAATCTTCAAGCGCCCGAGATTTTGAGACGCCTTCATGAATCGCCCAAAACAAATGTGGTTTGAAGGGCTTCCTCTCTTGGGAAGCCTCCATGAAATCCCCGTATGACAGTTTGTCGAAATAAAGGGATCCTGATATAGCCCCCAAAAGACTCTAGTCCTTATTATTGCAATCACCAACCCCTGAAATACCCCTAAACCCTAAACCATCTGATATCGGTATGTCTCTTTGGTCCTAGCCTGGCTTCAGGGTCGTCAACTGCATCCTGCTCCGGATCCCTGGGAGAATCACTTTGCCTCATAGGGTCTTAAGAAGAGGTCTTCTCCAGAAAAGAACCCCCAAAATGAGAGAATGCTTAGTCACTGCAATGCTCATTTGAAGTGATGAGTGCATGTTTCTTGCTCATTTTGGGGGATTAGGACCCTGTGATGGATGATGCGGGGGCCCGACCACCCAGACTCACATCCGACCGATCGCCTGGCTTCAAAGATGCACCGTGCTTTGCACCAAAAGCGGAAAGGGTTGATATGAGCTAGAATCTAAACTCCTTAAAGAGGGTTTTCTGGGGATTTTTTAGGGGAGTACTATAGGGGATATTCAGGGGAGTACTAGGAGCTTTGGATTATAACTCAGCAGACTCCTGGTTGAATGGCTATCAGGCCGCTCTGAGAACCATTTCAAGTGTATAGCTTATGCAAGCCCAACAAGAAACCTGCTTGCAGCTCAAAAGGCGCACGGTAAGACCCGGTTAGTGAAACATGGATGGGGGTGCATCAGGGGCAAGCCGTTTTTGAGAAGCGCCTGTTGAACAGCTTTCAGGCCCAGACGTATAGCCTCACAGCTTCATAGACCTTTCCAGCCATGCCTTCCAAGGGTTGCGCAGTGGCCCTCGCCGGTGTTGGCGCGTACGCGGCCGCCCAGGCCTTTGTGGCCCCAGCCGCCCCTCAGGTCCAGGAGCAGCGTCAGGTGCGTCAGTTGAGGCAGCAGGCCACCACCAGCGCCACCTCCTCCACTTCCTCCACGACCGCCCTGGCTCTGGGTGTGGCTGGCATTGCTGGGGTCGCAGCAGCTGCGCAGGCCGGCAAGCGCACTGAGCGCCGATGCCAGGTGGTGCGCCAGGCCACTGCTGTGGCTGAGAAGACTTTCACCAAGATGCCAGCATCCGTGAAGCCTGGGGTCGTCACCGGCCAGGCGCTGGTGGACTTGCTGAACTACGCCAAGGAGAACGAGTTCGCCATCCCAGGAGTGAACGTGGTTGCAACCGGCTCCATCAATGCGTGCATGGAAGCCGCCAAGAAGGCTGGCGGACCCATCATGGTCACCTTCTCTCGCGGAGGCGGCCAGTTCATTGCTGGCAAGGCCGCCGACAACACCGATGATGCAGCCTGCATCGCGGGCACCGTGGCTGGCGCCCTCCACGTGCGCCAGGTGGCCAAGCTCTACGGGGTGCCGGTGATCCTCCACACCGACCACTGCCAGAAAGCCTGGTTGCCTTGGTTCGATGGCCTCATGGAGGCCAACGAGGAGTAACTTAGCTACTGCAGAACTCTTCATTGTGGATGTCTGGTAGTTTTAACCGGAAACTGAAAGCTGTTCTACCCACAAGCGTCCAAGGTACTTTGAGAAAAATGGCGAACCGTTGTTCTCGTCCCACATGCTTGACCTTTCCGAGGAGCCTTTGGAGGAGAACATCGCCATCTGCAAGAAGCACATGGCTTGTTTTCGGAAGAAGTTTGAGGTTCTTTCTAAGTTAAAGCCAGTTAGGCCTCACCACATACAAATTTCAGTGAGGGTTCACTTTGCAAACAAACCAGGTATCTGGAACGCATGAGCAAGGTGGACCTGCTGTTGGAGATGGAACTGGGCGTCACCGGTGGTGAGGAGGACGGCGTGGACAACACAGATGTGGACTCCTCCAGGTTGTACACTCAGCCCGAGGAGGTCTGGCAGGTCTACGAGACCCTGTCGTCAGTCCCCAACGGCAAGTTCACCGTGGCAGCGGCCTTCGGCAACGTCCATGGCGTGTATGCGCCCGGCAACGTGAGCCTGAAGCCAGTGATCCTGCACAACACCCAGAAGTTCATCAAGGAGAAGCTTGGCTGCGACAGCGACAAGCCGGTGTCTTTCGTCTTCCACGGAGGCTCTGGCTCCTCCCTCGAGGACATCCGATACGCCATTGAGGCTGGCGTCATCAAGATGAACATCGACACGGACACCCAGTGGGCCTTCTGGGACGGCATGAACGACTACCAGAAGAAGAACAAGGACTACCTCCAGGCCCAGATCGGCAATCCCGAAGGACCGGAGAAGCCCAACAAGAAGTACTACGACCCTCGCATGTCCCTCCGGGCCGGCGAGGAGTCCATGGCCGACCGGTTGGTCAAGTGCATGGAGGACCTCAAGTGCGTCGACCGACTTTAGACGGCTGGGTCTTCATGATGCCATGCAGTGCAGACCGGGACAGTACGTCAGAAAGTAGAGTAGGATTAATGTACACGGTTGCGAAACAGCAGCATTCAGTTTTCCAGCAGACTCCTGGTTGAATGGTTATCAGGTCGCTCTGAGAACCATTTTAAGTGTATAGCTTATGCCAGTGCAACAAGAAACCTGCTTGCGGCTCTAGAACTTTGGCAGAGTTCCTAAACCATACCCTTGAGCAACCATGATCCTTGAACCCCAATATTAAAAACCTGAACCCCAAGCCCCAAACCCCAAACTCTGAACCCTGGAAGGGCCAAAGTTGCAACTTGAAAGGGGTCCTCAGTGCTTGTGGCAGGTGTACTTAATGAGTCTCCTGAGATCCAGAAAGGGAATCCCATCCTCTTTGAGTACCGCGCCCTACTAAACGGCAGAGGAGGGATATGCATATATGGTAGTTTCCCAGAATAAGGGGACCCCAATATACACCTCAAAATACTATAGTCCGTTCATTATTGGGACCCCAAGAATGGTACCCCTAATTTTTGGAAACCTCCGATATAAATATGCATCAGGATTTGTAGGGAAAATGGAAGAGAAAATGGAAACTATTACAAGAAAATTGGGTATAGATGGGGCGGGGGGGGCTTACTGTAGTAGGGTACCGTATTAAGTGAAGCTTGAGCAACTGGAGTTATGACCCTACACTATAGTAGTTTCCATTTGATTTTCCATTATTCCCTATATGGGTGGTTGTCAAAATTATGGTCCTTTTTTAGGTATCCTAAATAGTAGGTGCCGTATTATAGTTGGGATCCAAAAGGGGACCATATTTTGACAACCACCCATATAGCCCCTATATAACCCATTCTAGTAGTTTCCATTTTATTTTCCATCATCCCTATTTAAAGCATGGTGTGGGATCTCGAAGCACCAGCATGTTGATGATAGCCGCAACTGCCTGTTTGCCAGCTTGGCCCACAGTCCTTTAGGGTTTCAGGTAGCCCATGGTTCGTCGTTTCAGATAGATGTTTCCGTACGCGTATGACTGGAGGCCTTCCTTCGCACGTGTTGGGAGCGCTGACCAGCCAGTGCATGAATTTCCCAGCGACCCGGAAATTCAAGAACAAAAACGAAAACTCAAATCTGCGCTCAAACCTGCTGAAGCCATCTCAGATCCTGAACCCCACCTAAACACCATCTGCTCGGAACCAACTTTATGCCATAGGGTTAGCCCCACGTTGCGGCCATGTGCTGAACTCGCCAGGCGCCTTCTCAGATCAGCTGTTAATGTGTCCTTGTTAGATGTTGGAGTTTTCTCATACGAAAATTCGAGAAGGCATATACGGGGAGCAACAGGGGGTTAGGGTTCTTCTGAAGATGCTCCAGGCACATGCGCCGTCACCATGTGGGGTCTGGGGCTACTGGTGCGCCACGTGGGATTGCTCCGTATCTCGCACCCATGTTGCTGGTGGATTCCTAGCAGGCTTCTGGTCCCAGCATCTTTTCTTGGAACTGCAATCTCGCTCCCCATAAGCTTCATACAGCCTGCCTCATGCAGCACACCCTCACATCAAATGAGCCAGCGATGATGGGACCTTAGGTAAGGCATTGTAAGGGCAGATGTACCAATCTCGCCATTCGGGTGTTCTTTGCTGAATCCTCAACATGGTAGCCTGATGCCCTGACGTGCACCGTAATGGTATGGAAAGCCCCAAGCTCGATTTTGGGAAGACTGCATTCACATGAGTATTCAAAAGGGGTCCGTAGGTCCGTAGGCACCCTGAAACACTAGGATCATCTAAAAGAAGAGCATGGAAGGGCTCCTAGCATGTCCTGGGTAATGTCGGGTAATCCTTAAGAGGGAGCCGTATAGTATCTCAATGCTCTGCTCATCATCCCCGGCTAGTAGAAGATTCAATATACATCCGGTTCCCATTTCGATCTCCGCGCGCATTTCCATTTGATTCTTCACTCTTGGGCGAGTAATATCATAGACCCCAAGCCCTGAGCAGTAGCTTCCATGTTTTTGTCCATTTCCTACTCCCTTGGCTTCTACGTACTGCGCTCCTAAGACGCAGGAGCATCATGCAGCCTCGAAGATCGGGACGGCATCAGGCTGTTCTGCTCAGGGTTCCTAGCGCTAACACATCCTTAACTGCGCTGGCCCATGAAGGTAGGTCGTATTGTGGAAGCATAGGAAGGATTGGAGAGTCCCTGGGACCGACCCATTGAGGACATGGTAAAAGACCAGCCAAAAAGTTTCGAGGTCTTGAATCGGATGTATTCAATGTTTTCTTCAGTCCAATACAGGAAAACCAGCATGACGTTGTTCGCATGCCACAGGCAAGGATTCGGGGCGATTTTGATGTTTTTTGAGGCTCGTGCAGCCATCCCCTCAACCCTAGAGCATGAAGCCTACAATCCAGATTCCTAGGCTTTCATCCCTACGCACTTAATTCCAGGACACGATGCAATATTCCTAAACCCTTAACCCAGAGCCGCAAACCCTAAATGCAAAGCCCTAAACCCTGAATCTTCAAACCTTTGCGAGAAAAAACCCTAAACTTAACCCTAAATTGTCATCCGCAGCCCCCAAAGGCACAAATTCCTGAGCCGTTACAGAACCTGGTGGTTGAAGGTTTAGGGTTTAGGGTTTGCACCCTTGCGCCCTTCGCTGCGGCGCAGGTTCTTCTGGCTGCTTTGGCATGCAGAGCCGCTGGGGAGGCTTCATGCCACAGAGAGGGCGGAGTTGTACTACGTATCTTTTATTTGAGTTCATAGGAGCATGTAGGAGTTATATAGGGATGCATGAGGATACTGCCTCAGTAATGGGGCATCAAATGCAAAACCGAATGGGCCATGAAATGGAAATTAGTATTCGGGTTTGGGATTTAGGGACATTGCACAAATTCTGCAAATTAGACGAAGCACGCCTCCTGTAGTGAGAAATAAGGCCATGATTGACATGGGTGCGGTGAAGAGGTCTGATCTTGAGCCTAAACCCTAAACCCCTAAACCCCTAAACCCTATACCATCAACGCGTCTGCACCCATGGCAAGGCCACGCTCCTACCCAGCAGTGGGTTGGAAGCCTACATGACAGCTTGGGCCTGAGGCACTGACCCTTCAGCTCAGGTAGAAATCTGCGAGAATGAGAAGTAGTTCCCGTCCTATTTAAGGTCTTTCTGTTTATACCAGGGTAAAACTGCAGTTGAATCTGCCTAGCCCAAAAACTTGAGGGTTCCACCTTCCGTCAGGATTTGCTCACTTCTGTCGTACAATCCGCCCAATGCCTGCATGAAGTTCTCCACTTGCGGTGGAACCTTGGTAGGGAAAAAACTTTACATATAACCAGAGAACGTCCTCATGTTTCGTAATATACCTCGCGTAAGGCAGGGGTTGCAGGGGTCCTGGGTGTTCTCTGTTGGCAAGTCAGAGAGCAGCGTGGAGTAGCGTAGAATCTGTAAATCTCTGCAGGGCGACCCCCAACCGCAAAATCATACTGCGTTCGACTCGGCCATAATCTAAACTCCTTAATTAGGGTTGTATAAGGGATTATATAGGGGACTACTATAGGGGTGATTCAGGGTGATACTAGTAGTTTAGACTATGGCTCGACTGTCTGGATCCCCGCCCGAACACAAGAAGCAGATCAAAGGAAGATTTGGGTATCTTTGCAGAGGAGGAGTATTAAACGGGTACAGCAATGGTGCTTCCAGGAAGTTGGTCACCCAGCAACTCCCTCCCTACACTACAACAGCCCAGAATGCCTCGAACCGTACGCCGTACGCGGACGGATGCCTTAGGCTACTCCTTTACAGCACTTACCTTCTGAGGAAGCCTACCGCGCACTTGCAAAATGCCGTACGTGCGCAAAGCCAAATCCGCACGCTTTAAAGACCTACATTCAGAGTTCTTCTTTCCTTTATTCTTATTACCTGTGGGACTATTGGATATACTGGTGGGTCCCTATTCTCGAGAAGCTGCCTTTTTGCTGGCACTTGCCATGAGTTCTGCAATTTGAGGAAGCAACAGCCTCCTGCTATCGTCAACTCCTTGCAGATCCAATGTGCTGCAAGGCGGGGATCATGGTGCTAATGGACAAAAACCTTGGATGACCTACTCTATACCTGAGGTGAACCCCCACACCCAGTAGTAGTGACTAGCATGGATAATAGCACAGAAGTGTGTGTACATGTCTGTTGTTGTTCGTTTGTTCGCCGCCTATGAGTGGCGAGTTCGCCGCCTCTGAGTGGCGTGTTTCTGTGTTGATGGGAGGTTTAGTGTCTGTCGTTTGTTGTCTCTGCTGTTCTGCGTGCACTCCACCCGATCTTTCACTTGCCATATGACATTCATCAATTTCCTCGACTGAAGCCCCCACAAAATCCCATAGGTGGGAAGTCCCTGTGGCTTCGCGTTTCTCAGGTTGGGCTGGTCTACAGTATGGCAGGTTTGGGGCTCAAGATTTAGGACTGACTCTGGATGTCTGAGGCTTGCTGTCGCTCATATCTACTCCAAGCTGCGCGGATTAAGGGCTTCCGGAGTGTGAAACATCACATGAAATTTCCAGTCCCTGCTAGCGTCAGAAATGGTGGAGTCCTCACAACCTTCGGCAAGCAGTAGTTACAGGCAGACCCTGAAGTCGCAACAAATTTCCTGTTTCGCCTGCAGATCCTGAAGTGTTCCGCATCCGTTCTCAAGGCTTTGCTTTTTTGTGGGGTCTCCCTGGTAGTACAACTTAAGTACTGCAACGGCCGTCCTTGGCGACTTGATGGATTTCCGTTCCGCGGTAGTACAACTTAAGTATTGGAACAGCCGTTCCCGGCGACTTGATGGATTCTCGTTCTCTGGTAGTACAACTGAACTACTAGAACGACCGTTCTTGGCGACTTGATGGCTTTTCGTTCTTTGGTAGTACACAACTTAAGAACTGGAACGGCCGTTCCCGGCGACTTGATGGATTTTCATTCTCTAGGAATAAAACTGAAGTACTGGAACCGC